TGCTCAGTGACACTGCATATATTTACACTATGAACATTGCTTGCAAAGCACATTTGATTGTAATAAGCTGTATGTTTGTCATAATCCCTTTTTATGACTGCACTGAAGATGAATTACATTATTTGCATTTATTTATGAAATGGTTTATTCAATTATAGTGCTTATTTTATTCCCTTTTCATTAATAAAGAACCATTTCTCACATTTATTTCAGGTTCCTATATATATGGCATTTTAACCACTGGTGACCTTTTTTTCTGGGACCAGAAGTCAGGGTCTCTGTTTCAAGCACAAGGAATTCCTCCTCTTGTTATGCACACACCTTGCTCAGCAGACAAAGATTCAGGTACTTTGATACATTGTAATGTTGCTGTAATGTCACTCTTTTTATTTATACTTGTTTTGATATGTAGTATGCATCATTACAGACTTACAGTGCCATGTATGATGAATATTATTTGCTGAATCAAATAGTTTCTACTCATTGTGTCAATATGTCTTTATTTTCAGATGGTCCTCTTCAAGTTGTATTAGATTTTTTTAAACTACCGAGACCACAGAACCTTAGTAGTGATGAAACTACAGACAATGCTCAGTCTGCTCCCACTTGTTCCATCCCACCTCACCAAAAACCATATATTTTTGCCTCATCAGACTGTTCAAAAGTTGTTGTAGTGTTGGGTGCTAGTCAGGTATGTTGATATTTTATGTATAGTGCCTCATTTGTTATTTTGCCACTAATCATCATTGTTGCATTCCTGCATGGCATCATTGTTGCATTCCTACACAGCATCATTGTTAGATTCCTATATGATACAGCTGTTGAATTCACCCACAACACCATTGTTGAATTCCATCATGATACCACTGTTGGATTCCCATACAATGCCTTTGTTGGATTCTGTTAAGAATCCATTGTTGGATTTCTTCTTAACACTGTTATTAGATTCCATTGTTGGATTCCAATATGACAACATTGTTGGATTCCAACATGTTGCCATTGTTGGATTTTGAACATAATAAAAAATTGTTGGTCCAAATGACTGAAAATAAACAACAAGTGAAAATAAATTAGGATTTTGGTAAACTAAGCTACAAAAATTCTTTAAAGTTACAAAATGTTTTATAGAATTTGTACCTCTCCCCCTCTAGGCAATGAATTCATGTATGAATGTAAATACATTAATGATAGATGACAGAAAAAGTAAAAGCATTTTACATGTAATAAAGAATGCTTAAAGTTAGGTAAATTTATAAAGAAATAATGTATTGCATGCTCAGTAATGTTGTTTTATACTTTACTGGAAATAGCTTTCATGTAGTAAGCTGTAATAAGTTCCTGTGAATTATTTTAAGAATAAATATTTACAGGTATATCTGTGGGAGAGAGATTCTGCTTATCCTTTTAGCAAGAAAAACTCTAGCCTCATTTGTGGCCATTGGACAGTTGCTGAATGTGGCAGTGACATCCCATTGCCCAATTTGCAGTCAAGAGAATCTCAAATTACTTCATGCTTCTTGGCTGAAGGTGTAAGTTTCATGCATTTTTTTTTTTTGGTGTGTGCACACATGAATGTGTGTGCGTGCACACGTGCCAGGAGCAGAGCTATACTCATGGTGTCCCATGGTTGGTGTTTGCTTGGTCAGATCATTGTTTATGTTTTCCACACTAATATTCAAGATGTTTCTTATTTAAAATGACTCAAGAGCATAACATTTTATACAGTATACACTTCACATTACAGTCCCGAGAAGAAAAGTGCCACACAACCTTCAGTTTTATTGATGATACTGTCCTCATCATTACAACATTAACCCTGAAATGGGAAGGCTTAGGTTGTATGGTGCCACAAGATCGAGTAGTATCAGCTTATTGGAGCTACATATCAGTGTCCCATCTGGCTCTTGGATTGAAAAGCTCACAAGTACTGCAGGAAAAAGGAACCTTAATTTCTCAGTAAGTATTAAGAAGTTTTTCTGTTATCTAATACAGCAGAAATAAATTATGTACAACTAACTTGTAAATGTGAAATTCAATCCTGATGGCATTGCTGTTCATCCTGAATTATCATCAAATGTCATGCAACTTGATAATGTTGCAGATAAACTATAATGTCTAGTTTCCATTACCATTTGTGGATTAGATATGAATTGTTCAATGTACAGTATTTTAGTTTTTTTTTTAAGTGAATAAGTATAATGAGACATTGTATACACTGAACATTTACTAATACTTTCAGATATGCTCATGGGCAAAGTCTCATCTGCATTGCTCTGAATTCTCTGCAGCAACATTCTAAACTGACTTACCTACATCCTATGTGTAACACTGCAGTTGTAACATGCATTTGTGATGCTGCTGCTGCTTCTCAACATGATCTTCCTAATTCAAAGTTAGTGCATAAAATATAGAAAATCATGTTTTATGATGGTATTAGACAATCTTGTTTTATGTCACTATGGTTATTAAATTTTTTTATTTTACTCATTGTATATCTCATCAATATAAGGTGACCGAATAAAGAAAACACATTTACCCTAGAAAAGAAAAATTGTATTAACTTTCATTTTCTTTTCTTGTATTTTGTTTTGGTTTAGCTGATTTTTTGAAGGCTGTAAACAATTTTCTCAACCAAAACATTTTTCACCATTGCAAGAAACTCAAAATATTTCTATTCCTACGCAAAATCCAAGCTAAGAACTACCTGTAGAATTGGACCATTACTGAGAGGAGACTCGTATACTGACGATGAACAGGAAATGAGTGAAACCCTAAATAGAACAGTATGAGTTGGTGTTCAGCAACCCATTAAATGACAGCAAGGTAGAAAATGCAGAAATGTTTTTCACTCCAGAAGAAAGCCGCATAGACCAACTAACTGACATTAGTACAAATCCCATAGTCTTCGAAAGAGAAATGGAAAACATGCCCACTCACTCAACACCTGCACCAGATTCATGGAATGCTCTGTTTATAAAGAAGTGCAAAGTACCACTAGTATGAGCCCTCAGTGTTCTTTGGAGAAAAGCTTAGATTTAGGTGAAATACCGGAAGCCTTAAAGAGTGCAGACATAGCTCCTTTGCATAAGAGTGATGAGAAGGCAGATTACAAATTTCATGGAGCAGCACAACCAACATAACCTGAACCAGCATGGTTTTAGAGCAGCACAATCATGCCTGTCACAGCTGCTGAACCATTATGACAGAATTACGGAGGTATTGGAAGTCGGCCAAAATGCAGATGTGATTTACACAGATTTTGCAAAGACGTTTGACAAATGCGATCATGGAGTGATAGCACGCAAAATGAAAGCCTTGGGCATTACGGGGAAGGTAGGCAGATGGATTTTCAGTTTCCTAACACACACAACACAAAAAAGTAGTGAACAGGGCAAGATCCAACATCAGCGAGGTCAAAAGCTCAGTGCCCCAAGGCACTGTTCTGGCACCTCTGCTGTTTTTCATTCTCATAGCAGACATAGACAAAAACACCTGGCACACTTTTGTATCATCATTTGCAGATGACACTAAAATAAGCATGAAAGTCACCACGGTAGAGGGCACTGAAAAAGTACAGGAAAACATAAACAGGGTTTTCCAGTGAGCACTGGAGAACAACATGAGATTCAGTGGTGATAAGTTTCAGCTGCTTAGGTATGGAAAGAATGAAGAACTCAAAAGGAACACTATATACAAAACTCAAGAGGGTCACCAAATAGAACGTAAGAACATAACATAAGAACATAAGAAAGGAGGAACGCTGCAGGAGGCCTGGTGGCCCATACTAGGCAGGTCCTTTACAATTCATCCCACTAACAAAACATTTGCCCAACCCAATTTTCAATGCTACCCAAGAAATAAGCTCTGATGTGAAAGTCCCACTCAAATCCAACCCCTCCCACTCATGTACTTATCCAACCTAGATTTGAAACTACCCAAAGTCCCAGCCTCAATAACCCAACTAGGTAGACTGTTCCACTCATCAACTACCCTATTTCCAAACCAATACTTTCCTATGTCCTTTCTAAATCTAAACTTATCATCTAATTTAAATCCATTACTGTGGGTTCTCTCTTGGAGAGACATCCTCAAGACCTTATTAATATCCCCTTTATTAATACCTATCTTCCACTTATACACTTCGATCAGGTCTCCCCTCATTCTTCGTAAGGAACACGTAAAAGACCTAGGAATAATTGTGTCAGCGGATCTTTCTTTTAAAGACTGTAACAAGATAAAAATCACGACAGCCAGGAAGATGACAGGGTGGGTATTCAGAACTTTCAAAACAAGGGAAATAATGCTGATGGTGACACTCTTCAAATCACTGGTGCTCCCTCACTTAGAATATTGCTCAGTGTTGACGGCCCCGTTCAGAGCAGGAGAAATACCAGAGCTGGAACAAATACAGAGATTGTTTATGGCTCACATTGAGCCTGTAAAGCATCTAAACTACTGGGAATGCCTGCAAGCCTTGAACATGTATTCATTGGAACGGAGGAGAGAGAGGTTTACTTGGAGAGAGTTCCGGAGGTCAACGCCCCCGCGGCCCGGTCTGTGACCAGGCCTCCTGGTGGATCAGAGCCTGATCAACCAGGCTGTTACTGTTGGCTGCACGCAAACCAACGTACGAGCCACAGCCCGGCTGGTCAGGAACCGACTTTAGGTGCTTGTCCAGTGCCAGCTTGAAGACTGCCAGGGGTCTGTTGGTAATCCCCCTTATGTATGCTGGGAGGCAGTTGAACAGTCTTGGGCCCCTGACACTTATTGCATGGTCTCTTAACGTGCTAGTGACACCCCTACTTTTCATTGGGGGGATGTTGCATCGTCTGCCAAGTCTTTTGCTTTCGTAGTGAGTGATTTTCGTGTGCAAGTTCGGTACTAGTCCCTCTAGGATTTTCCAGGTGTATATAATCATGTATCTCTCCCGCCTGTGTTCCAGGGAATACAGGTTCAGGAACCTCAAGCGCTCCCAGTAATTGAGGTGTTTTATCTCCGTTATGCGAGCCGTGAAGGTTCTCTGTACATTTTCTAGGTCAGCAATTTCACCTGCCTTAAGATAAGATAAGATAAGATTTCGTTCGGATTTTTAACCCCGGAGGGTTAACCACCCAGGATAACCCAAGAAAGTCAGTGCGTCATCGAGGACTGTCTAACTTATTTCCATTGGGGTCCTTAATCTTGTCCCCCAGGATGCGACCCACACCAGTCGACTAACACCCAGGTACCTATTTGCTGCTAGGTGAACAGGACAACAGGTGTAAGGAAACGTGTCGAAATGTTTCCCACCCTCTGGGAATCGAACCCGGGCCCTCCGTGTGTGAAGCGGGAGCTTTAGCCACCAGGCCACCGGGCCACAACCACCAGGCCACCGGGCCTTGAAAGGTGCTGTTAGTGTTCAGCAATATTCCAGCCTAGATAGAACAAGTGACCTGAAGAGTGTCATCATGGGCTTGGCATCCCTAGTTTTGAAGGTTCTCATTATCCATCCTGTCATTTTTCTAGCAGATGCGATTGATACAATGTTATGGTCCTTGAAGGTGAGATCCTCCGACATGATCACTCCCAGGTCTTTGACATTGGTGTTTAGCTCTATTTTGTGGCCAGAATTTGTTTTGTACTCTGATGACGATTTAATTTCTTCGTGTTTGCCATATCTGAGTAATTGAAATTTCTCATCGTTAAACTTCATATTTTTTCTGCAGCCCACTGAAAGATTTGGTTGATGTCCGCCTGGAGCCTTGCAGTGTCTGCAATGGAAGACACTGTCATGCAGATTCGGGTGTCATCTGCAAAGGAAGACACGGTGCTGTGGCTGACATCCTTGTCTATGTCAGATGTGAGGATGAGGAACAAGATGGGAGCAAGTACTGTGCCTTGTGGAACAGAGCTTTTCACCGTAGCTGCCTCGGACTTTACTCTGTTGACTACTACTCTCTGTGTTCTTTAGTGAGAAATTATAGATCCATCGACCGACTTTTCCCGTTATTCCTTTAGCACGCATTTTGTGCGCTATTACGCCATGGTCACACTTGTCGAAGGCTTTTGCAAAGTCTGTATATGTTACATCTGCATTCTTTTTGTCTTCTAGTTCATCTAGGACCTTGTCGTAGTGACCAATAGTTGAGACAGACAGGAGCGAACCTGTTCTAAACCCATGTTGCCCTGGGTTGTGTAATTGATGGGTTTCTAGATGGGTGGTGATCTTGCTTCTTAGACCCTTTCAAAGATTTTTATGATATGGGATGTTAGTGCTATCGGTCTGTAGTTCTTTGCTGTTGCTTTAACTGCCCCCTTTGTGAGTGGGCTATGTCTGTTGTTTTTAGTAACTGTGGGACGACTCCCGTGTCCATGCTCCCTCTCCATAGGATGGTAAAAGCTCGTGATAGGGGCTTCTTGCAGTTCTTGATGAACACGGAGTTCCACGAGTCTGGCCCTGGGGCAGAGTGCATGGGCATGTCATTTGGCGTCAGGATAACATCAGATAGGCTTGTGTTAACCAAATTCTGTGGCTCTCTCATAAAAAATTCATTTTGATCTTCGACTCTCAGTCTGGGTAGCGGCTTGCTAAAAACTGAGTCATATTGGGACTTGAGTAGCTCACTCATTTCCTTGCTGTCATCTGTGTAGGACCCATCTTGTTTAAGTAGGGGCCCAATACTGGACGTTGTTCTCGACTTTGATTTGGCATAGGAGAAGAAATACTTTGGGTTTCTTTCGATTTCATTTATGGCTTTTAGTTCTTCCCGAGATTCCTGACTCCTATAAGATTCCTTTAGCTTAAGTTCGATGCTTGCTATTTCTCTGACCAGTGTCTCCCTACGCCTTTCGGATATATTGACCTCTTTTCCGTCGCCTGTAAAGGGAGCACCTGTCCCTTTCTATTTTACATATACTCCTCCTTTGTCTTAGAGGAATAAGCCTTGTGCATACATCGAGCGCCACCGAGTTAATCTGCTCTAGGCATAAGTTGGGGTCTGTGTTGCTTAGTATATCTTCCCAGCTTATATCAGTTAGGATTTGGTTTACTTGGTCCCACTTTATGTTTTTGTTATTGAAGTTGAATTTGGTGAATGCTCCCTCGTGACTAATCTCATTATGTCGGTCTGGGGCTCCGCGCATACATGTCTGAACCTCAATTATGTTGTGATCTGAGTATATTGTTTTTGATATGGTGACATTTCGTATCAGATCATCATTGTTAGTGAAGATGAGGTCTAGTGTATTCTCCAGTCTAGTAGGCTCTATTATTTGCTGGTTTAAATTGAATTTTGTGCAGATTTAAAAGCTCGTGTGAGTGTGAGTTTTCATCAGAGCTGCCTCCTGGTGTTATTACTGCAACAATATTATTTGCTATATTCCTTCATTTTAGGTGCCTTAAGTTGAAATCACCCAGGAGCAAGATGTTGGGTGCAGGAGCTGGCAGATTTTCTAGACAGTGGTCAATTTTTAACAGCTGTTCCTGGAATTGCTGGGATGTTGCATCCGGAGGCTTGTAGACTACCACAATGACTAAGTTTTGGTTCTCGATCTTTACTGCTAAAACTTCCACTACATCATTTGAGGCATTCAGCAGTTCTGTGCACACAAGTGACTCTGCAATGTACAGGCCAACCCCCCCCTTTTGCCTGTTCACTCTGTCGCATCTGTATAGGTTGTAACCTGGGATCCATATTTCGTTGTCCAAGTGATCCTTTATGTGGGTCTCAGTGAAAGCCGCGAACATTGCCTTTGCCTCTGCAAGCAGTCCACGGATGAAAGGTATTTTGTTGTTTGTTGCTGGCTTTAGACCCTGTATATTTGCAAAGAAGAATGTCATCGGACTGGTGGTATTGTTGGTACTGGGGGGGGGGGTTCCGGCATTAGTATCTGTATCTGTTGGTTTGGAGTGGAGGCCATCGACTGTGGTTCCACTCCAGGAATGACTGGATTTGGTGTACGATTTCTGCCATTTCCTGCCAGTTTTTTTTTCTTCCTGGCACTAAAAAACCTCTCCCTCTTGAGTGGCTGTGGCTACCCAGGTTTTCCCATGGCCTGGATGCTTTGTATCTTTTTGTCCCCTTTAGATGGTGTGCCTGGCAATTTAAGTTATAGCATAGTCTTTCCTGTACTGAAGAGGGACACATTTCAGGGTGAAAAAGCTTACAGGAAGGGAGTTTGCATTTTCTTGTTGTCATATGGGCACGGCATTTTCTAGGGTGGTCATAGTTGCACGTCTCATCTGTTTTTCCAGATTTCCCATGCCTGCAGATACCAAGTGCATAGTATGTGCACAGGCTTGGTTTCCGTTTGCCTTGGGTTTCTGTGACTGTGTTCCCTGTTGGTGCATGTTTGCCTTGGGTTTCTGTGACTGTATTCCCTGTTGGTGCATGTTTACCTGTCTTATTCCTATCCTCCCTAGCACCAACAAAGGAGCTCCCACCAGTTGTTTTTGGTAATATATCCTCACTATTGCTAGTGGAGTCCTCTTGTTTGCTATTTCCTGTGGTATTTATAGTTTGCAATATTGGTTTTATCTTATCTTTGACTACACTTGATTCCCCACTACTGACAACCAGGACATCACCTCCAGCCTTACAGTTTCTGTCTACATGACCAGCATCAAGGGCAGTACCATCCAGCCCAGACTTTTTATGTTCCCATCTGTTGTAGAAAGCTTCCAGGTTGTCTATGAAAGCAGCTTTGATGTTATCCTCTTTTAATACCAATGTGATATTAGTCCACAGATTTATCTCATTTGGACATACCCAAAAACACTTCCCTGTTTTAATACTTCTTGTAGCTAGTTCTTGGATATTTGCACAAGGGGCGTGACACCAATTTCCACAAAAATGACAATTTATCCATGTGGAAGCCCGTTTGTTTGATTGATTGCAGACTTCACAGGCCTTCATAATGATTTGAATGGTTGAATTACTGTAATTCTACTAGCAACCTCTTGAATACTCTATTAATAACCTCCTTAAAGTGAAGCTCTAGCTATTTGTATTTCTATTTCTAACTGTACTTGTACTTGTACTCGTACACGATAATATATACCTGGAAGGTACTCGAGGGCCTGGTCCCAAATCTGCACTCTGCCATAACAACATACTGGAGTGAGAGCTATGGGAGGAAGTGTAAAATTAACCCAGTGAAGAGCAGGGGTGCAGTGGGGACAATAAGGGAACACTGTATCAACATTCAGGATCCCAGACTATTCAATATCCTACCAGAAGATATCAGAAACATGGCTGGAACAAGTGTAGAAGCCTTCAAGAGGAAACTGGACAAGTATCTTCACCAGGTGCCAGATCAACCAGGCTGTGATGGATATGTGGGGCAGTGGGCCTCCATCAGCAACAGCCTGGTTGATCAGGCAATCACCAGACGAGCCTGGCCCATGGCCGGGCTCAGAGAATAGATAAACTCTCGAAACTCTTCAAAGGTATATTAAAGGTATGCATATGTAGCTGATAGAATGTTCATTAATGTTCTAATTCTGTATAGAAAGGCAGTTTTAAGTAGGGATTGTATGATACAATTTTTTTGCTGATGATGATATCATTATTACCCAATACTCACTGATACTGGTACCAACAGCACCAAAAGTGTACCAGAAGTAACGTTGAGTTGTAGAGGAGTGTTGCAGTGAAAAGTAAAGTTGATTTTCATGAAACTGAAATGAGAACAAAATAAGTGTCAGGGGCCCAAGACTATTCAATGACCTCCCAGCATACATAAGGGGGTTTACCAATATACCCCTGGCTGTCTTCAGGAGGGCACTGGACAGGCACCTCAAGTCAGTACCTGACCAGTTGGGCTGTGGTTTGTACATCACTTTGCGTGTTGCAAGCAGTAACAGCCTGGTTGATCAGGCCTTGACCCACTGCGAGGCCTGGTCACAGAATGGGCTGGGGGTGTTGACCCCTGGAACTCTCTCCAGGTATACTCCAGATGAAATTGACTGGTACTCACCAATACCAGTACTAAGTTTTAGGCCAGTACCGATACTTTTGTACACCCCAAGTTTTAAGTCTCATGGGCCATTTAAATTGTATGAACCCTGACAAACTTCATGAACTTTCATGATCAATACGTTAGTAAAAGTGAAAATTATTTAGATTAGATGAGATGTCCGTTAGTTTTTTTGGGGGATTATTCAAATAAAAATAATAGTAATGTTTCCTGCCCTTTGAAATACTGTATTCAGATATGTTTTTATTCTAAATTAAAGTATTGTATTATACTTTATTTTTAAATCTCAGTTTTGTTTATGTTCTCTTTTCAGTGGTGATAATTCACACTGGGTTAGTAGTATGTGCTGGTCTCAAGATAACACTTATGTAATAGGATGTCTGAGATCTGGAGCAGTATTCGTGGCTACGAGAATGGGGCCACTTCTGAAGATCTCTTGCTCAGGGGACAGTCTCCAGTTCCGGCCAGCAGTGATACTACCACTGCATCCTTACTTACATGCTCTTCAAAAAGAGTAAATACTGCATTGCACTCTTGTAATATGCAACATATATGAATTGGTCAAATAAGTACTGAATTAGGCAGGGATGAATGCCTATCTTTAAAGGAGGGGTTTGGGATATTTGCTGTTTAGAGTGACATCTAAACTGTCATATCTGAGCGCCTCTGGCAAGACAGCGATGGTGTGAATGATGATTATGAAAGTGTTTCAGGTCACCCTGCCTCAGTGGGAGATAGCCAGTGTGTTAAAAAAAGAAAAGAAAGAAAAAAAAAAAGAGCTGTATACAGAAAAAGAATACAAAGAATGGTAATGTTATATGCATTCTTGCTGCAGCTCTGGGGTTGTAAATGAAATTGAAGATGAAAATCTTCTATTTCTTTGGAAATGTACATAGAGGTTACAAAGAATGGGTTTGCAGTTAATTTGGTTACAGTTTTGATACAATTACAGCTTTCTGTTCAAAAGAAAGTTACTTATTATGCAAAACATTTCAGGCAGACTAGTTCTAAAACTTGCATACTATATACTTAATTTTAGTCCTAGCATTTAAATTTAGGCACTGTGTGACTGTCTCATTTGTAAATTAGAGGACCTCTTGTATCATTAACATGAAAGAATTATGAAAGATATTTTGGTGGTAGTTAATTAATCTGGAAAGGAATTTCATGGATTTCATGTTTATGACTATTATTATCTGTTAGCTCTGTCACCATGTGATGCATCATCCAGTTATAAATGTCAGTTCTCTCTCAACACATCAGCAGTCTCCCACCAAGGCAGAGTGACCCATAAAAGAAAGAAAGAAACAAACATTTTCACCATCATTCACACACAATCACTTGTTTTGCAAAGATGACTAGTTACGACAGTTCACATGTCACTCCAAACAGTAAATATCCCAAACCCCTCATTTAAAGTGCAGGCATTGTATTTCCTACCTCAGAATAACATGAAACTGCACACTGCAGGGGTGGGCAATTGTTTCAGTTGGCAGCTGCTAATTTTTTTAAACTGTTTGGACCACAATAAAAAGAGCAAAATAAAAATACAGATAGGAGTGAATGGAGACAAGTGGTTTTTAATGGATGTGCTGTTGGAGTGTGAGTAGGGTAGCTTTTATGAAGGGATTTATGGAAACTGGCTATCCATACTTGAGTCCTGGAGGTGGGAAGAGCAGTGTCTGCACTCTGAAAGAGAAGTGAGGATATGACAGCCATTGGGTAATCTGGATTGTGATGTCAGCACACTTCTGGCAAGATAGTGATTTAATGGATGATGGTGAATGTGTTTTCCTCTTTGATCCACCAGGATGTGGTTAGGAGATGAAATTGAGGTAAAAGTAATTAATAAAAATAATAAGAATAAGAACGCATTCATAAATAGCTTCAGTCACCTTGTCCATACTTAGTGCCAATTCTTGATTTTTTTTTCAGTAGCAGCTGTGAAGAGGTGACTGTATGTATGGAAAGTGGCTCAGCTTCAACACCAGAGTTCTGTGTGTCATGTCACCCAGTAAAGGATCAATTCCTTTTGTCTTCTGGTCTTCGAGTCTCGGTGTTGGTATTTCCTGAAAACGGTAGGAGGTACAAATACACGTTTTATTCCTGCATCCAAAACGTGCTGTGTAACCTTGTTATGCCTTCCTGCCCTATGGGGAAGACAGTGTTTATGATATTTTTCTTTCAGAAATTAAAAGTAGGCATTATCTTTGAAGTTGATATTCATTTTAATTATTTGAGCATTTTCCCACCAGAGAGTTAACCCAAAGAAGAAAATGTTTGCCATCACTCGCTTTTAACTACCTTTCCAGAAGGTGGTTAAAATGTCAGTGAGAGATTGATCCACTGAACCACCCCATTATTCAGAGAGCAGAGCCTGTACTTAAGGCTTCTAAAACTCAAATTTAACTAGCTGTTTTCTGTGCATTTCTTATAAAAACATATTACCTCATTTACCTCTCAAATTATCATTTTCATTATTATAATTAAGTTAAACACTAAACGCAAAAGGGTCTACCCTCACATAGCATTCTAGATCTTATGGACTACTTGCCTGCAGTCACTCTAGACTAGAGTACTCATACCTGCCTAACTTTGTAGTTATGTTGCCTGAAGGATTGTTTTTGTGCCCACAGGGATGGAGATATTGTAGATCAACTGTTGTCAACTGCTCATCATTCTCTGTATCTTCTACGTCACTCTTCTCTGACCCATGACTATGCCTACATTCGTTGTAGCACCTGGAGATTAGCTCTGTCTGTACAAGATCTCTCTCGTAATGTCAACGAATCGTTGGACCCAGATAGACCTAAGGTATGAGCAACAGTGAACATTTTTATACTTTGTTGTTTATGAAAGATTGTATAAAAGGGTGAATTTGAGCTGCACAAGGACTGTTGAGCTTTTATACAGTAGTCTGTAGTTATTAACCCGTAAACGGTCCAAGCAGATCTACGTTCACATGTGTAGTGCTACAAAAGTAGATCTAAGTTTTTTTTACATATTTTCAAATATAACAAAAAAAAGTAGATCAAAGTTTTTTTACACATTTTCAAATGTAGAAAAACAAAAAGAAGATCTACTTTTTTTACATACTTTCAAATGTTGAAAAAACGTATATATACATTTGGACCGTTTACGGGTTAAGAAATAAAAGGGAATTGAAGGTTAGCAAATGAAATGAAAAAGTAAACATTTATTATGACTGTTGAAACTTGTTAATTGATTCTCAGTTGCTCATATTGTTAGATCCTTCAAGGAGAGCACTTGGATCTTGAGCCAAGGAAATGGGGTACCTCTTTGATTGAACCTTATTATCTCCAGTTCCGCAGATGTTGTATGACCCCTGCAGGCTTCCCTATGATTAAATGGTTAAAATAATAATGTTATTTAATTATTTTAATGGGGGAGATGCTAAATCCATAAGGCATGGGAATAATAATAATAGTAATGAATAAAAATAATTATAATAAGGCCATTAAAATAATAAATAATAATAGGAGTGAGTGGAGACGAATGGTTTTTGGGACTTGATGAGCTGCTGGAGTGTAAGCAGGGTAATATTTTATATTTTATTTATAGTTATCTGTTTACAATAATGTCTTATCACTGATTTCATCATTGCTTAGTTAATCTTAAGTTAATTTTAAGCCAGCCCGTAATGCTATGCATATAAGTGGCTTTGGCATGCTGCTCTTACCTGTATTTTTTTTTTTGTACCTCTGTATGTATGCTAAAATTTCTATGCTAAGGGATTCAGGGAAACCGGTTACCCGACTTGAGTCCTGGAGGTGGGAAGTACAGTGCCTGCATTTTAAAGGAGAAGTTTGGGATATTTGCTCTTTAGTGACATCTAAACTGTTGTACCTGCATGCCTCTGCAAAGACAGTGATAGTGTGAATGATGGTGAAAGTGTTTTTTTTTGGGGGGGAAGGGTGTCACCCTGCCTCAATGGGAGATGGTTCGCATGTTAAAAAATTAATAATAATATTAACTATACTGTGAATACTGCAAAGATCATGTACTGTAATTTATATTTGTATTTCATTAAATTGGAATTGAAATGCTAAGTGGCAATAAAATTGAATGAGTAATTGGGTTACTTAGATATTAATAATTAAACTAAAAATGCATGGCAAACAAACTGATAAATCTGCATCTACTAGTATTTGGTAAGTGTAATACCTGTTGTGAATGATAGGGATATCATATAAAATAATTAAAATACATTAATACATATGAATTTCAGATCAGTGCTTATTTCAGATCAATGTTTATTTCAGATCAAGGTGTGGGATACGGACAGCCCAAGTCACGAGGAGTGCAAGACTCGACTGGATGTTGCTAGTGAAGGCGAGCAGTTGGTGAGGCAAGCACTGTTCAAGTGTCAGTGATACATTTGAGCATGAGTGCAGTCAGCCTGTCTCTAATTATTTTATAACTCCTTGCCAATGGCTCTATATTTACCAAGATAAACAATGGCAAATACCTAAAGAATCATTCAGTTTTATATGCATTATACAGTGATTGTGGTAACAGCTGCTTCAGCCCCTCTACAAGCGTAGAGATAAGAAAGAAGCAATGTTGGTGGCAGGATGAAAGGAAAAAGGGTTCCTATGAGTTAGGTGCATTGAAATAGACTGTGAGGAGTAGGTAAAAATGTGGATTGGTAAAGATATTTAAAACTTAAACCCCTTAACTCACTATCTGTTCACAGTGCACTAGTACGCTGGGACCAAAATGTGTACAACATTTTTTTTTTTTTTTAACTCGCTGGCCATTTCACCAAGACAGGGTAACCTGAAAATGAAACACTTTCACCATCATTCACACTATCACTGTCTTGCAGATACAACAGTTTGGATGTCGCCCTAAACAGCAAATATCCCAAACCCCTCCTCTAGAGTGCAGGCATTATACTTCCCACTTCCAGGATTCGAGTCCGGCTAACCGATTTTCCTGAATCCTTTCACAAAGTATCACCCTACTCATATATGTACATACTTGTATGTATATTTTTCATGCCTTCAGATATACTGCCGCCACCATTTAAGGTCTTGGCTACTGTCTCATGCCTGGGAAAAAATCTAGAACCAGGCAGAATAATGGAAACGATACAGCCATGACCTGTGTCACCATCAGCTTCACTTTTAGTAAACAGGATGTGAAACTGGCAGGAAGATGCCTTATTTGTTTCAGAGTTATTACAATTTCATGATACTAACAGTGGAATTCAACCAAAATAGCACACTATGATCAAGTCATTATCATATAGTTCCTGTGTTTTTCATATTCTTTGCATTATTTGTGTAGTGCAGAATAACCTAGAGCTGGATAACCAATAATCTTATGTATTAATTCTGATGGGCATTACAAAAAATCTGTAAATCATGGGAGGCCCTCTAGTAAAAATGTTGAATACTAGAATCACAAAGTAAAGTACAATACTATGTACTTGTAAATTTGTTATTTTTCATTGTACATTATGCCCAAATTTAAAGGTTAATGAAGGTAAGATTTTTTTTTTTTTTTTTTTCAACAAGTCGGCCGTCTCCCACTGAGGCAGGGTAAGAATATTTACTTTTATAATGATTTTTGATCTTTTATGTGTATTAATACTAATTTCAGGATGGGTAATTGATGAACCCTTTATGCAGACTAAGCATGTGATTTCTTCTTTCAGATTGAGCAGGCTATGAAGCCTCTCCTGGCAGCCTGGGCTGTGATTACCTCTCATACTGGACCTCAAACCCATGATTGGAGAAGAAGAGCAAAGCATGTGGCTCAGCAGTTGGTGAAGCTTGTCAACACAATAATGCAAACCACTTTGCATGACGATTACTCTCATCATCAGGCTCAGTTGTTACAAATGTTGCATATTTTTCATCACTTTGTTAGGGTGAGTACAAGAATTCATCAGGCAAAAATATATGTGGATGGCATAGGTAGAAAATATTTGTAACTTATTTTACTCTGAGTAAACTATAGAGAGGTTTGTTGAAGAGAAATAAGTTTTCTGCAAGAAAAGTGTATGGAGCACGATACTGATTCCTTGCATTATTACTGTATGGTGTACCATTTAGCTAATTTGTATAAATTGCAGGAACCCAATTTAGCAAATAGTGTATATTATTTCACACATACAAATAATGCTCTTCATAAAATAATAACTTGTAATATGATATACAGTCTCTCACTCACTAACGACAGAGTTCCGTTCCCTAAGACCATATCGGTAAACGAATTCATCACTAAGCGAGGAGCATACTATAATGGTAGTGGGTTTGTGTCATCCATCTTTGATATTGTTTTAATGTCACCTTTGCACCATTTATAACATTCTGGTATTTTCTTAAAGTTTATACAGTAGTGTACTGTATTTGAATAAACAGATTGAGGAATCAGCTCTAATATACATTATTTAGGTATGCATACCGGTCAGAGAGCACATTGTAAGTCTGAGGCATCGATAAACAAGTATGTCGCTGAGTGAGGAGCTCTGTTAATTGGGTAGCCAGGTATGGTGAAACTAGTGGTTTGACATTTTGGTTTTGTTTGCATTGCTGTGTTAAAGACAATACCTTGAGAACTGCTTCTTTACAAGTTCTTGTAGTTAGGCAATGATCAATGTCATAAAGTAAAACATTGTCTTGATATGAGTTGTGTAAACCATCCCCTGGTATCATTTTGGACATGATTGTTTTATTTATTAGAGCAGGAACAATAAGTATGCTTATTACATTCATGGAAAGAACTAAACCCTTAAAGGTCATGCAATGGTTTAAAAAGACATGTTAGAAAACATTTTAGTTCTGGAACCTTGATCAGTAAGTATGAGGGTCCAGGTGAAGCATTTATAGTACATGTTGGCAAAGATGAGTAGTGGGGGGTTGAAGAGGGTTGGAATAGTTTTAAAAATGAAGTATTAGAATGTGGGGCAGAAGCTTGTGGTTATAGGAGGGTGGGGGCAGGAGGAAAGAGGAGTGATTGGTGGAATGATGAAGTAAAGGGTGTGAAAAAGAGAAAAAGGGTAGCTTATGAGAGGTTTTTGCAAAAGAAAGTGTTATAAGAGAGCAGTATATGGAGATAAAGAAAGGTGAAGAGAGTGGTGAAGAGAGGGGCAAAAGGAGAGCAGTTGATAGAGTGGGAGAGGCACTGTCAAGAAATTTTAATGAAAATAAGAAAAAAATTTGGAGTGAGCTAAACAAGTTAAGAAAGCCTAGGGAAAGTATGGTTTGTCAGTTAAAAACAGTAGTAGGGGAGTTAGTAGAATGGGGAGAGGGAGGTATTAGGTAGATGGAGTGAATATTTTTGAGGAATTTAAATGTTGAGGAAGAAAGGGAGGCGGTAAATTTCATGCATGGCCAGGGAGGGTATACCATCTTTTAGGAGTGAAGAAGAGCAGAATGTAAGTGTGGTGGAGGTACGTGAGGCATTACATAGAATGAAAGGGGGTAAAGAAAGCTGGAACTGATGGGATCATGACAGAAAATGTTAAAAGCAGGGGGGGATATTAGTGTTGGAGTGGTTGGTTACTTTTGGTTTAAATAAATGTATGAAAGAGAGGAAGGTACCTAGGGATTGGCAGAGAGCATGTATAGTCCCTTTATATAAGGGAAAAGGGATAAAAAGAGATTGTAAAAATTATAGAGGAATAAGCTTACTGAGTATACTAGGAAAAGTATGCAGTAGGTTTTAATTGAAAGAATTAGAGGTAAGACAGAATGTAGGATTGCGGATGACGGGGAGGCTTCAGAGTGGGTAGGGATGTGTAGATAAGTGTTTACATGAGCATATATGTGAACAGTATTTAGATATAGAAGGTAAGTTTTTATTGCATTTATGGATTTAGAAAAGGCATATGATAGAATGGATAGAGGAGCAATGTGGCAGATGTTGCAGTTATATGGAATAGGTGGTAAGTTACTAAATGCTGTTAAAGTTTTTATGAGGATAGTGAGGCTCAGGTTAGGGTGTGTAGAAGAGAGGGAGAATACTTCCGGGTAAAAGTAGGTCTTAGACAGGGATGTGTAATGTCACCATGGTTGTTTAATATATTTATAGATGGGGTTGTAAAAGAAGTAAATGCTAGGGTGTTCGGGAGAGGGTGGGATAAATTATGGGGAATCAAATTCAAAATGGGAATTGACACAGTTACTTTTTGCTGATGATACTGTGCTTATGGGAGATTCTAAAGAAAAATTGCAAAGGTTAGTGGATGAGTTTGGGAATGTGTGTACAGGTAGAAGTTGAAAGTGAACATAGAAAAGAGTAAAGGATGAGGGTATCAAATGATTTAGATAAAGAAAAATTGGATATCAAATTGGGGAGGAGGAGTATGGAAGAAGTGAATGTTTTCAGATACTTGGGAGTTGACGTGTCAGTGAATGGATTTATGAAGGATGAGGTTAATCATAGAATTGATGAGGGAAAAAAGGTGAGTGGTGCGTTGAGGTATATGTGGAGTCAAAAAACGCTATCTATGGAGGCAAAGAAGGGAATGTATGAAAGTATAGTGGTACCAACACTCTTATATGGATGTGAAGCTTGGGTGGTAAATGCAGCAGCGAGGAGACGGTTGGAGGCAGTGGAGATGTCCTGTCTAAGGGCAATGTGTGGTGTAAATATTATGCAGAGAAACCGTAGTTTGGAGATTAGGAGGAGGTGCGGGATTACCAAAACTGTTGTCCAGAGGGCTGAGGAGGGGTTATTGAGATGGTTTGGGCATGTAAAGAGGATGGAATGAAATAGAATGACTTTGAGAGTGTATAAATTTATAGTGGAGGGAAGGGGGGGTAGGGGTCGGCCTCGGAAAGGTTGGAGGGAGGGGATAAAGAAGGTTTCGTGTGCGAGGGGCTTGGACTTCGAGCAAGCATGCGTGAGCGTGTTAGATAGGAGCAAATGGAGACAGATGGTTTTTGGGACTTGATGTGCCGTTGGAATGTGAGCAAGGTAACGTTTATGAAGGGATTCAGGGAAACCGGCAGGCCGGAATTGATTTCTGGAGATGGGAAGTACAGTGCCAGTACTCTGAAGGAAGGGTGTTAGTGTTGTTGTTGTATAACTGTAGTGTAAGCATGCCTCTGGCAAGACAGTGATGAAGTGAATGATGAAAGTTTTTCTTTTTCAGGCCACCCTGCCTTGTTGGGAAACAGCCGATATGTTAATAATAAATGTCTTAGTCTTTATTCACATTTCTTTTTGAATCACTTGTTGGTATCAGTTACCAAGGTCTATACTAGGTCACTCAGTGTTGCATGGCAGAGGAAAAAGAAGTGGGAGGGGAGGGAGATGTTATAGGGGAACTGAGAGGAAGAAAAAGAGAAAGGAATGGAGAAAGAGAAGGAAAAAAGGAAAGAAGACAGGGAGGAATGGAGGGAAGAGCAAGGAAACAGAGGAGGAAGAGGAGGAATGAAATGGATGGGAAGGAAAAATAAAGAAAGATGGAGTGATGGAGAGAGGAAAGGATGAATGGTTTAAAAAAAAGGTATAAAAACATAAGATGGAGGAACACTGCAGCAGGCCTGTTGGCCCATACTAGGTAGGTCCTTCACAGATCCAGCCCACTAATAGGATATTTGCCCTCATAAGAACATAAGAAAGAAGAACACTGCAACAGGCCTACTGGTCTATGCAAGGCAGCTCCAATTCTCCCCACCGGCTTAAGCCAGTGCCTTGACCTAGTGAGGTCACACATGTCACTTAAGGGAGGAGCACAGCATCTGACCTAGTAGCTAGTCAGGTCCAACTCACACCCACTCATGTATTTATCCAACATATTTTTAAAACTACACAACGTCTTAGCGTCTGTGACGGTACTCAGGAGTTTGTTCCACTCATCCACAACTCTATTACCAAATCAATGCTTTCCTATGTCCTTCCTGAATCTGAATTTTTCCAATTTAAAGCCATTGCTGCGAGTCTTGTCTATGTTAGATATTTTTAGCACGCTATTTACATCCCCTTTATTAATTCCCGTTTTCCATTTATACACCTCAATCATATCCCCCCTAATTCTATGCCTTTCTAGAGAGTGCAGATTTAGGGCCCTCAGTCTTTCCTCATAGGGAAGATCTCTGATACATGGGATCAACTTTGTCATCCTCCTTTGTACGTTTTCCAGTGCATTTACTTATATCCATTCTGTAATACGGTGACCTAAACTGTGCAGCATAATCCAAATGAGGTCTAACCAAAGATATATAGAATTGAAGAACAACCTGAGGACTTCTATTATTTATACTTCTTGCTATGAAGCCAAGGATTCTGTTTGCAATAAAGCTAACACTAATGCACTGTTGTCTTGGTTTTAGATTACTACTAACCAGAACTACTAAATCCTTTTCGCAATCCGTAATATTAAGATCTACATTATTTATTTTATATGTGGCATGGTTATTTTCCTGTCCAACATTTAGAACTTTGCATTTGTCTGTATTAAACTGCATCTGCCACTTCTCTGACCACTGCATGAGTTTATTCAAATCATCCTGGAGTGCTCTATTGTCCTCATTAGAATGAATTGGATGGCCTGTTTTGGTGTCATCAGCAAATTTACTTATGTCGCTATTTATTCCCTCATCTATGTCGTTTATGTAGATTGTGAACAACAAGGGGCCCAACACTGACCCCTGTGGAACACTGCTTGTGACGTGCCCCCATTCTGATTTCTCCCCATTTATGCAAACTCTCTGCTGCCTATTCGTCAACCATGCCTCAACCCAGGAAAAAATTTCTCCTCCTATTCCGTGTGCCTTAAGTTTCCTCAATAGACTCTGATGTGGAACTCTATTGAAAGCCTTACTGAAGTCCATATACACAATATCATATTCAGTACCATGATCTACCTCCTCAAGTACCTTAGTGAAGAAAGTCAGTAAATTCATAAGACAGGAATGCCCCTTTGTAAAACCGTGCTGAGATTCATTAATCAGTTTATGCCTTTCGAGATGGCTACGAATTGCTTCGGCAATTATTGATTCCATAAATTTTCCCACTATGGAGGTAATGCTTATTGGTCTATAGTTTGAAGCTAAGGACCTGTCACCTGCCTTGTAAATAGGTATTACATTTGCCATTTTCTATTTATCAGGCACTATGCTAGTTTGCAGTGATATGTTGAAAAGATTAGCCAAAGGCATGCTAAGTTCCTCTTTACATTCCTTTAACACCCTTGCAAACAGTTCATCAGGGCCTGGGGATTTGTTAGGTTTTAATTTCTCTATTTGTCTGAGAACCATGTCACTAGTTACCGCAATCATGCATAGTTTATTATTGTCCTGTTCTACATAATCTATTATTTCTGGAATTTCGCTAGTATTTTCCTGGGTAAAAACTGAGAGGAAGTAAGTATTGAAAATTACACACATATCCTTATCACTATCGGTGATCTGACCTGAGTTACTCTTAAGTGGGCCTATCTTGTCCCTAATCATACTTCTGTATACCTGAAAGAACCCTTTTGGGCTAGTCTTCAAATCCCTTGTGACCTTAGCCTTATAATCCCTTTTTGCTTTTATTCCTTTTTTTATTTCTCTCTTTAATTGAATATATTGATTTCTTAACTGCCCTTCCCTTCTTTTTATATGCCTATATATGACTCTCTTTTGACCATTGAGATGTTTTAATCTATTGTTCATCCATTTAGGATCATTTTTGTTAGTTCTAATTTCCCTACTCGGAACAAAAGTTGTCTGGGCAGCTAGTACTATGCTCTGAAAAATGTCATATTGGCAGCCAAGACCACCTACTTGACCCATAGTCAGGACATCCCAATTTAGCCCACCCAGGTAATTTTTCAGTCCCATGAAATCAGCCAAGCGAAAGATTTGATTGCAGTTATCCGGGTAACTCCATGACATATTGAAACTAAGTGATTTGTGATCGCTTTCCCCAAGCTCGTCATTAACCTCAAGATTATTAACTAGTGATTCTTTGTTGGCAAGAACCAAGTCAAGTAGATTGTTTCCTGTAGTTGGTTTTGTCACAAACTATTTTAAAAAGCAATCCTGAACCGTATCAAGAAAGTCACTAGATTCGAGATTTCCTGTCACATTGTTCCAATCAATTTGTCTAAAGTTAATACAATTATTTTATATTAATGGATAGATTTTTAATATTTCCATACTATATTATCTCCGGCAGGTATTAGCAGTGTGGCCCACGTCATTGCATATGGTTCGACCCACCTTATGGCTCACACACCAAATACTTCATATATTTCTCAGTTGTGAGAGACATGCTGGTGAGAGCAGCATGATCAACACACTTCTCATATTGACACAGACTCTCACCTCAGTGGAAAATACACTGACTCAGGTATATACCTTTAAACCTATAGTCAAATTTCCCAGTCACCTGGAATATAGTAATGTTGATACTGCTGCTGGTGTAGAAGTGACCAATATTACTGCAATCTCTTGGACTGCAGCTGCAGGCAATCCACTTGCAAGTGACTCTGCAATTTGTACAAGAATGAAAAATCTCTGGATTTGTTTACATATAAATTCCATGAAGGTATACAGCCAACTTGGAAAAAAGAAAATGGAAAAAATGTGCTATCTGAAATTAGTCTCAGTGATGAACATAATACAGAGCAGATTACAAAATTTTGGACACAGCTTCTGTCAGAAAAAAGTTAAACTCCAAATATTCAATCAGCTCCTCCTAAATGGGATGCATCTTGGTGCTGTAAATAACTTGAAATCTGAAATTATTAAGAACTTAAGTAACAAGTGTAGTAGAAAAACATTATGTCGGTATTTTCATTCTATTCTTTACACATATTTACTAAGAAGAGATTTCGTGGGTGTCTCCGACTTTTTGCATTGGTTATGCAAGTTACTCAATTCATATTTATGTACTAAAAAACTGTCTGGTCTATCTAATAGCAATATGTCTTCAACTCTTAAACCAAAGAAATGTGAAGCCAAAGTTTCACTCCCAGAACTGGATCTGTCACCAGTCAATGAAGAGAGAACCCAGACCACTAGTCAGAACACAGTGAAAGCAGCTGTAGCTCACCAGCTGTCTAAGGAAGCTTCACAAGAGTGTCAAACATCCTCTTCTATAAGAAAATACAGTGAAATAAGTGCAAAAACTAGTGAGATGGATGGAGAATTTCAGCCGTCTTGCAATCTAATTTATGCTGCTCGTCAAGTAATTGGCAGTTTAGGTCGTATCATGACAGGAGTGATACTGCAGCACGATATTCACATCCCTTCACCTCACCATCCTGATATTATACCTTCTGTTTGGCTGGATTATCCAAAATTGAAAGGTACATTATTTTAAATATATTTCTCTCATCACATGATTCAAATTCAAATCATACAGAATTCAGTATAAACCTTGAATTTAATATACATGAATATCATCCATGTTCTTATATAAATAAAATTAACTATTATTTTTTGTTATAGATAGTGGTGGGGATGCAGCCACCTCGTGCTCCATCATGAAGGACGATATTCATAAAGCTTATATTTCCACGGAGACAGCAGGAAAAGCACTGGCAATAGCTGGCTACTGGAGTGATCTCACTGCTCTTTCTTTTGAATTGGCAGATACAAGAACAGCTCTATTTGCCAGTCTTATTTCAATCACAATTGAAAAAAATGGGTAAGGTCCCGATTTTTTTTTGTATCATGTCGGCTGTCTCCCACTGAGGCAGGGTGACTCAAAAAAGAAACACTTTCACTGTCATTCACACATAATCACTGTCTTTGCAGAGGCGCTCAGATACAACAGTAGATGTCACTCCAAGCAGCCAGTATCCCAAGCCTCTCCTTTAAAGTGCAGGCATTGTACTTTCCACCTCCAGGACTCAATTCCGGCTAACCGGTTTCCCTGAATCCCTTCATAAAATATTACCTTGCTCACACTCCAACAGCTTGTCAAGTCCCTAACACCATTTACATATCTCCATTCACTCTTAACACATTCATGCATGCTTGCTGTATGTCCAAGCCCCTAGTACACAAAACCTCTTTTGCCCCTCCCCTCCATACTTTCCTAGGATGACCCCTACCCCTCCTTCCGTCCACTACAGATTTATACACCCTCCACATCATCCTGTTTTGCTCCATCCTCTCTAAATGACCAAACCACCTCAACAACCCCTCTTCAGCCCTCTGAATAATACTCATAGTAACTCCACACCTCCTCCTAATTTCCACACTATGAATTCTCTGCATAATATATACGCCACGCATTTCCATTAGACACGACATCTCCACAGCCTCCTCGCCGCAAAATTCATAACCCATGTTTCACACCCATATAAGAGAATTGGTACACTATATTCTCATTTATTCCCTTCTTTGCCTTCAAGGATAACATTCTTTGTCTCCACAGATACCTCAGTGCACTCACCCTTTTTCCTTCATCCATTCTGTGGTTTGCCATGTCCTTCATAAACCCATCTGCTGACAAGTCTACTCCCAAATATCAGAACACATTTACTTCTTCCATACTCCCTTCCTCCAATATGATATTCAGTGTTTTCTGTACCTAACTCGTTTGATACCCTCATCACCTTACTCTTACCTATGTTCACTTTGAATTTTCTTCCTTTACACTCCCTCCCAAACTCGTCCACTAACCTTTGGAAATTCTCTTCAGAATCTCCCAGAAGCACAGTATCATCAGCAAAAAGTAACTGTGTCAACTCCCATTTTGATTCCTCATAATTTAATCCTACTCCTCTCCCCAATACTCTGTCATTTACTTCTTTTGCAACCCATCTATAAATATGTTAAACAACCATATGTTATACATGTCATAAATATACCTTAAGGTCATAAAAGATGCTTTACTAATGTTGAACTTTGTAGCTACCTCATTGCTATTATAGGAATGAATTACTCTCAGGTCAATAGTGCTGAGAATTTATTTTCTAAATAATATGATTGATGCTATTTATTATTATTATTTACCATCAGAATCCCAGCATCAAGCAGCTTGCACCCATCAAACCTGATTATAAAGTATATGCTCAACTATGGACCAATGGAACAACTGAAGTCATCAGTATTCCACAGTTACCAAGAACTTTTGCAAGTGGCTTCTATGGCATGTCTAGAGGTCATACCAACCATTCTGGAAGAATGTCTTCAAAAAGTACAGAAAGTCATGGAGAATCTTGAGTTGTTTGTACCATCTTATGTGTATTTACCTGCTCCACCTGTTTTCTGTCCTCAGGTATCCTCTGATAGCATCAACACACTTAAGTCATCAGGTGTTACTGTCAGGTGAGTAAAGTATCTTTTTTTCTTCAAATTATGTTTGTTACATTTATATTAATATTTATTAGCATTTGTAGGTAGCTATAATAGATTAATTACCTTCTCTTTTCTTCAGTGTATAAAGATGTTAGAAATTAAATTGACCTATTTTAGCCAATTAAGAACTTAAAAGTATGGTTGAGATTATTATTTGTAGCATAAGATAATACAGTGTCGACTTCTGTGGTACAAGACTATTTAACCTCCCAACAGCGGATAATAGAAATATTGCCATATTAACCAGACAGTACTGAATATATGGGCCAGTGAACTGCCAACAGGAACAGTCTGGCCCCATGCTGGGCTGTGAGGTTAGACAATCTAAATTGGTTACAGGTATATAACTGTGTTTGTAATTGGGTCTTTGAAAACAGAACATTAAATGAAAAAGCACTTGAGTAAAAATCATTTACATTAAATGTCAGATAAAATGAATTAATAGAGGAAGGGGGTGTCCAGTTTACTTAACATTCTGTTATTTATAAGGTTTCACTTAAGCTATGTAGTCTGTTTAGTCGACCAACTACCAGACATGGACAAATGCCCAATAAAACATACATTGTCTGCTGTATTAATGGACTACCGGACATATACTAAAAATAATCTAGAGTACAATACGTTATTACCTGTAAATGTACCTGAGAAGACAATGGGTTAAAAATACAGCACAATAGAGTACAGCACAGTAATTTTCCTATCTTTTCTGGTGGATAGATGAGCTTACAGATGTACAGTACAGTACAGTATTCCAATGAAAATGTTTCCAGGATGAACCTCAGACTGTACAAACTTGGAGGTGAGTGGAGCTGGTCCATTTTATCGAATGTACAACCAGATTGGATAGCTGTTCGATATAGTGGATTTGGTCCGCTTCATGGCTATTTTAATTGGACACCATATGTAAAGTACACCTTGACTCTTTGGCCATATTTCATGTCTGTTTTAGCCAGCATCTGCTTTACAGTGTCTGTTTTCCTGTACATCTATGAAATGTTGCAAAAGGCATTAGCATGGTCACAAGATAAAAAAAAATGATAACATTAACTTTGTGAAAAACTTAAAATGCCCATTTAGGATAGGCTTTTGTTAAGGTGCTGGCAAATGCATCTTGGTCATCTACAGCAGAGTGCTTGTTGGGTGTTGTGTATGCCAACACAAGTGTATATATGTGTATGCTGTTCACAGCCTTACATTAAAGGTTTAGAACGTTAAGAAAAAGTTAAGAATTAAAATTTAATGGCATAATGAAAATCACTAAAGAAAAGAAACATTGTAAAGGGGAATGTTTATACCTGTTAATTTACTCTTTTTCAGCATGTTGGTAAAGGAAGATAAAGTTTCTTCATGAACACTAAAATCCTTTCCATGTTTGAAACTAAAGGTAACAGATTATTAATTTGGTCTTGTGCTTGATGAGTACAAGTAATACTGATTTGTTTTCTCTTATAGATTTGATGAGAGGACGTTAAGGAAGGAACTAGCTGGCTGGATTAGACTGTTTTGCTCCATCATCAGTGCAGCAGGAATAGCTCAACCTTTACTCCATAATTATCAGCATGGCTCAATAAAGGTTATCCTCTGGTTTTATGTGTAGATTTGGATTGATTATTACTTAAAATTACTTATTCACAGTTAACCCAGAATTTTGAGAAACAAGTTTTAAGTGATGTTTCAGGCCATCCATGACCATTATCAGGGTGGAAATTGATAATGGTGCAGAACTAACTGAAATGATGTCTAAAGTTTTCTCTGCACATTTTGGGTTAATTGTTAATTGCTTCAGCTATATTGTTGTGACATTTATTCTGTTACTTATATTTAATCACTGTGACAATCTTACACATTCACATCTTTACTTGCCTCTCAATGCAACTAAAAGATGACAGTCATTTTTGTCTGGTTAAAAATCAGCGGGTGAAATTTCTTTGCAAGTGTCTTCAGATGTCTTCAAATACTGAATGAGCATTCCAGATGACAGCTCACCTGATATTATACACAAAAATAGACTGATAGAAAAAGTGTACATTATTAAGTTACTTTAAGAGCGAATATGAATGTTATATAATCAGTTTGTTCAGTTTATGTATTGGACACACCTCTTGAATCATGATTTTAGCATAAAAAAAAATTAGAATATTCTACATTGTGAAATATCATAATTTGTACCTTAAAAATTGGTATCAATTTTGGGTAAAACAAAGACACTTAATAAAGCAGAGCTTTCTTGAACAGTGTTTCATTAGAGTACTGTAGCTCTCTGGACAATGTTTTTACATACTGTAGGAACTTTATTGAAATTTCTATATCCCTGAAAGGTTAGTATGGGTCCCATTGTAACCACAATTTTGGATTCTACAAATGAATCCCACAGTAATATAGCTGTGGATCTGGATCACTGTATAATAATTTTCAGAAATGCTAAACTTGTAGAAGTCATATAACTCTATTTCACTTAAATTTTGTACGAACTTTAACAAGCACACTTTGCCTTTCATTCCATGGTGTTAATTTGTTTTTGGATTCTAATGTTTGCTATATTTATTTGCAAATTGATCAAAACTGTAAAGAAAAATCCTGCTTTTTTTTCTTGTGGCATACAGTAGGTAATAAATTTTTATTGGGCCTCATTCAATCTTGGATTTATATTTTTAAGTTCACTTTGAAATGTACAGTAATTGATAACATCATAGTTATAATTAATCATTACCATAGCCTTAATAATTTTGACACGATGTATCTGAGGGCAATGTGTGGTGTAAATATTATGCCGAGAATTCGGAGTTTGGAGATTAGGACGAGGTACAGGGTTACTTAAAGTATTATCCAGAGGGTCGAGGAGGGGTTGTTGAGGTGGTATGAACATTTAGAAAGGATGGAGCAAAATAGGATGACTTGAAGTATATATAAATCTGTAGTGGAGGGAAGGCAGGATAGGGGGTCACTCTATGAAAGGGTGGAGGGAGGGGGTAAATGGAGGTTATATGTGTGAAGGGCTTGGACATACAGCACGTGTGAGTGTTAAATAGGAATGAGTGGAGGCAAATGGTTTTGGGGACTTGATGAGCTGTTAGTGAGTGAGCAAGGTAACATTTTTAATTGGATTCAGGGAAACTGGTTAGCCGGACTTAAGTCCTGGAGGTGGAAAGTACATGTCTGAACTCTTTCAGCAACAGTTGGGTTGGAGATATTTTGGTTGCTACAAATTCTATTAATAATTGTAGGTGTGACATGGCTTAGACTTTAGGAACTAATACAGTGCATTAATGTTGTCTTGATAAGAGTATCTTTTGCAGGCATCAGAAATGTATAGAGAAGAGTTAGATATCTTGGCTGAAGTGTTGGGAAATACTCCAGAAGATATGTTTCCACAGGGCCCAGAGTGGTCAAGAATCACTCAACTATGGCATAAATTTTTAAGGCAGCTTTGGATTCTTCATGGTCGAGACAAGTTGTCTTTATGTGTACGAAAATTCACTGCAAGTGCTTCATCTTTATATAAGGTTAAATTTTGTCCCACATATACAGTTTTTAGTGTACCACTAGTACCTTTTCTGTAATTTAGTGTACTGCCAATGTCTTTTATGCAGTTGAGTGTACCACCAATACCTTCTCTGTAATTCAGAAGCTTTTCTTTCCATCTCTTTGTTTAAAACTTCTACAATTCTTTCTTCTCCATTTGCTGTGACACTACTGGTTTCTCCTTAATTAAATCTATTCTTATGTACTTCACTGAAATGCAGATGTAACTTTTACTAAATAACAGTGGTCTTAACTCTGTTAATATCATGCAATCCAGCCAGTGCTTAGTATCGAGTAGTGTCACATGCCTGGCCGAATGCATATTTTATGTCTATAGCTGGCAGATTAAACTTAAGCTGTTTTTGGATATTTTACATTAGGCTAGGTTACATTTTTTCATTTTCACAACAAAAAAATGCTTCAGATGTAAAGCCAACTTAATATTGTACAATTCAAACTATAATTAGTTGCTGAAATCTGCTGAAGATCAGTCATCTATTATGTACCTTTCCTTCTTTTACATACCCTCTCAAATTCCTGTGCAACCTTTGCAACTTGTCTTCATTATGTTAACTTAACCTATCTCTTTTAATACTTGGATTAGGAGGAAGAGGAATGTATTTATTGTGAAGAGTAAATTTTAGAACATTTGTTGGGATGGTGAGGTTAAAAAAAATATAATGTATATGTGCAATGTTTAGGGAATTTAGCTAAAGTTCTATTTCTGAATAATGATTTGTTTCTTAAGACTAATTTTTCGTAAAATAAATTACTTGGATTTCTTTACTTGCAAATATAATTTTATTTCTTTAATGTGTATCTGTAGCTAAGAATTTCTTTTCAGATTAAACCCAACCAAGAAGCATATACAATAGATATACTGTCGTGGGTTCAAGTACTGTACAAGGTTGTTGAGTTTGATTCTTGGAGAGATGAATTAATTTCTACAGCATTAACAGCTGCAAGTAACAGTCCACCACTTCCTGTAATTGCTCAAGCATTGGCCCAGATTATTCAGAATCCATCCCAACTACCTTCATTGTTTAAGGAAAAAGCTAACAGGCTTTATGACATTTGGAAGACCACAAATGTGGTGGTAACTGAAAGTAATTTCATTCAAGGGAACACAACCTCTGAAGGCAGGAATCAGTGACTGAAACATTTACTCATTTGTACAGTATCTATGATAAAGAATGTGTGAAAGCAATGGAAAAGTGTGATGTCAGTAACAGAACTGAGAGAGATGCATTAGAGGATAACACACTTCATTTTAGTGACAATGTCATAGATATGTCCTCCACTCAGACCACACCTGAAACTATTATAGAAGAATATAGGAAATTTATGTTTCTTTTTGCCAGTATGACCTTTGCTCGGGATGCAGAAATGTTCCCAGAGCACATTACACAAGTGCCTCGACTTGCTCAGTTTAGCGATACAGTCAAGAAGAAGGTGTTTCTAGGAATGAGGATGAAAAGTCAGATATTTGAGAATAAGAATGAAGATTGTACAGAACATCTTGAACAAAATATTTTGGATAATGAAAATTGTAGCGATACATTAAGCACAAGCACAAATGAAAAAAGAGGATTCTTTCAGAATTTAGATTATTCCAATATTTGGCAAGGAGATGTGAATACTGTCTCTTATTTACACAGCAAAATGTGTATGAATAATCTGAGAAGTATTCAGAGAAAAGGTAACTCCTCTTTTCTCCAAAAGAAACATTCAGAAAGTCAAATTATTTCAAGCCATCATGTAACAAGAGATGTATCTGATCAATCTTTCAAGCAGTCTTGCTCTATACAAAACAACACTTCCAAAGCTTGGAATTCTGGCGGCAGAAAAGGCAGATCACATTCTTTAGACAGAAGGCAACGCACAACTTCAACTTTTTCCCAGGCCAGAAGAAGTCGCTCGTCTAGTTTAACTAAATATCAGAAGCAAAAGAATTTTGTGCACTTAAATGTCATTCCTACATTCTCATCCCAACAGGCATGCACAAATCATAATTCTCTGCTAAATGATGTTTTACATCTTCCTAATTCTCAAAATTTAGGTGCAGAATATACACACCTGCAAGAATTGATAAAGTTAGTTTGTTGGTTGATGAGCAGTGAAAGAAGATTTTGTTTGTCAGTCTTGACAGTGGGTGCAAGTAAAAGCAGTATTACAAAGAAAATGGATCTCAATTTTGATGATATTGTTTTAGCTCTTGGTTGGGAAAGTTTATATCTGTGTAATTTATGTAAAACGCTCAGAAAAAATCTTAAGACATGTCGGCATGAGAAGAAACAAGATACAGACTCAAAGGATGCAGAAATATTAAAAAGGAACAAGAAAAGCAAGCATATCAAGAAGAAGCAAACAGTACAACAGGCCATGTATTCACCTTCTGATATCAGTGGTGCTGAAAAAGAAAATGCAGGTCAAAGTGTCACTTCACAAAATGGTGCAAAAGTTAAACATTCCAGCAGTGGAGTGGATAAGAGGCCAAGAAGGAAAGATATATTCTCTATAGCCTTTGGTTTAGAGAAACAGAAAATAGAAAGGGAGTCACAAAATGGTCTAAATGTTTTATCAGCAGTTGGGCTTAAAAGAGCTGAACATGTACTGGAGGAAAAGGGGCAAAGCCCTAATGACTTAAATGCTACAGATAATAATATAGAAAATGGCAATTCTAGTTGCTTATATAGTATTAGCTGTATCTCAAAAGTGGATCTAAAAAATCCTGATACAAGTCAAGGAAATGTGATGGACAATTCATTGAGCTCTCACAATAACTCTTGTATAAAGGAAGTTGTTCCAGCTGATACTATAGAGGATGAACTAGATGGGAAAGCTTTCAGCTCCATAAATATTCAGAAAACTTGTGATCTCAATCAGTCCCTATCCACAAATGGCAAGACAGAAAGTCTTTCAGTTGAAGAATCATGTAAAGCATTAGAATCAAAGGCAAAAACTCCTGTTAACAAGGAGTGTTCCCACAGCACTCAGCATTCTGCCAGTACTGGTGGAGAGAATATTGTGATGGGAGCATTAGAAAAACAGCACCCTGATTGTGCATTGATTACAACTACAAATAATGTTCCCCCAAAATATCAAGAAAGTAATACTTCAGAAGACTTGAAAGAAATAAAAATATCTACTGAAGTCTTTCACAGTCAGTCAAAGGAAAAATCTGAAAACCAGAGCAAAAAAGGTATTGTGGAGAGAAATATAAAAAACAAAGTTAGGCATAAAGTCAGAGGTATCCATGAGGAAACTGACCCTGAAGCTGTGGGTGAGATCACTACCTCTGAGGGCATTTGGAGACCATTTACAGCCAAGGAAAAGTGCCTGCATAAGCCACTGAAGGTCATTGAAGTTGAAGAGGCAAGAAAGCAGGTTCTTCAGAGAAGTTTGCCATCTCGACCCCAGAAAAAAATTAGTCTTACTCCCATTGAAACACCATCAATTGAAGCTAATAATGGTACATTTCCCAAGTTACTCCACCTGCCATATGCAACATGTGAGGATAACAGGTTAAGCATAATGGATCCGAGTTGCAATGCTACTTCCCTCTCGAACCCTTCCAGTGTTCTACCTGTCGAAGATACTCTGGATGATGTCACATTACCCGACTCCTTGCATGCCTCGGATCTTGAAAACGAATGTGATAGCATGACAAGTGAAAATATTATTCAGGAAAATATCATCCACATACATAAATTTCAGTTCCCTAAAAGAGAGATATCAGACAAAACAAAAGGCAAATTGAGTGCAAAACAGAAAGCAAAAGTTGTGGCTAAATCACCGAAAACAGAACGATGGGATGAGAGAGTGCTGCAGTTAAATCCAGTACCAATTGAAGTTAAACCCATTACAACTGATCTTGATCATTACTCTGGCAAACAACATTGTAAGGGTCAGTGTGATGCCCATACTTTTTCAAAAATGGATAAACAAAGAAACAGACAACTAAAGCTTTTAACATTACCCAAGCATTCTATAAACAACATTGAGGCTACGAAAGACTGTTCACCTTTGCTTTTAAAACAACTTCCAGCAGAAAAGATACTGCAGATTAACTCCAAGAATAATAATGTATCATTTACTTTACCAGGCAAAGGTGGCTTAGACTATTCAACAAACATGCAAAATTATGGCCAGCATAAAAATCTGACAATACCATTACAACCAAATGTTATAAGTAGTAAATATATGAAATTATTAACTCTTCCTGCCTCCTCATATTCCCAACCAAGTGAAAAAATAAATGCAAATTTCCCCAAGTTTGTAGATCCTAAACAAGTTTTCTCATATATGGCAAATGTGATTACTAATAAAGAGAATAAATTTAAAGCTCTTAAATTAACTGAACCTATTATCAGTCAAAACTTTAGCGATGTCCAGAGGCAAGAAATTTGTACTGAAGATCCATCTGAAAACAAGGAAGAAAAATTTAACAAATCCAGTGCTCAGGATGAGGGTCTTGATACAGGTTTTCTTAATATAGTTAAAGAATATGCTGAGAAGTATAAGACAAATACTTGCAAAACTATTATGGCAAAAAAAGTTGATACAACTGATGGAAATGTGGAAGCTAAAAATCAGTATAGAACTACACAAAGGATAGATAAGGCTTCCCAAAGTAAGTGTCTACACTATCAAAGTAATAGAGAAACACAGACTTTACCTCAGATTTTCAATGATTTTCAATTTTATGATGCTAATAAAGATGACAAGAACATTCCCTGTGTTGATAAAGAAGTCATTGCCCAAGATAATGCCATCTTTGAAAGGAAAAAGAGTGAAACTGAAGAAAAGTTTGAGTTAACCTCATCACCTATGAACTGTGGGTCACCCAAAGAGCAATTTAAAGATGAATATGTTGAAGCAATCATCAGTGTTAAGGATTCGTGGACTGAAATGAGCACTGTTGTGTTGGATCATAATATACCTCGGAATGGCTGTGAAGTACAGGTATGGATATAATTTTTGTTGTTAAATATTTGGTGAACCTAATAAGGTGGATATATTATAATTTTGCCTTTGTTATTTATAGTAGTAAGTTGATAAAAAGCTAGTATTCAGAGAAGTACTATCACCATGTTTAGAGTGAAATAGAGCCCTGTTAAATATTTTACATAGGCAGAATTGCTGGTCTTCCTTTGTTTCACAGACATGCAAGATTACAGGTAAATCTTATAAATTTTTACTTGCATTCACTATATGCTTAAATTTATTTTCGTTTGTATTGCTATAGTGCAGGGGTGGCACTAAAGGAGGCTGAAGTCCCCCCAAAATTTCATCAGCCCCCAAATAAAAATAATAGTAATAATGCTACTTCAATGCAAGACCCCTAGCTCCCTCTTCCAACCAGATTGATACCTTTAAGCCTCTCCTATACAAAACTTATGGAGTTGCTTTTGCTGTAGTGTTTCCTTTCCAGCCTTGTATGAGAAAAGAAAAAGAGCCATATAAATTAAACTTAAGAAAAAAGAATTAAATATGTAATTACAAGATAACATACAGGATGTTCAACAAAAACTTATACCCCTATAAAACATTAGAAAATAATTATTTATTTTAAAACTTCTCACTCTGAAGCTGAGGGAGGTGAAAATTAAATTTATACGCTGCATGCTGTAACTCTAATTTTTTTTTTTTCCAATGAACCGTCCGTATCCCACCAAGGCAGGGTGACCTAAAAAGAAAAACAGAAGTTTTTCTTTTTAAATTTAGTAATTTATACAGGAGAAGGGGTTACTAGCCCCTTGCTCCTGACATTTTAGTTGCCTCTAACAACATGCATGGCTATTGGATAAGAATTCTTTTCCACTTCCCCATGGAGATAAGAGGAAATAAAGAAGAACGAGAACTGTTAAGAAAATAGAAGAAAATCCAGATGGGTGTGTGTGTGTGTGTGTGTATATATATATATATATAATGTATATATATATTGGCAGTTTGGAGGGATATGTTGTGTATCTTTATACGTATATGCTTCTAAACTGTTGTATTCTGAGCACCTCTGCAAAAACAGTGATAATGTGTAAGTGTGATGAAAGTGTTGAATGATGATGAAAGTATTTTCTTTTCGGGGATTTCTTCTTTTTTGGGTCACCCTGCCTCGGTGGGAGACGGCCGATATAAGCGACTATTGGCAGAAAGGTGGGCTAGTGCAAAGATGAGTAGTGGGGGGTTGAAGAGGGTTGGAAAAATTTAAAAAAACAGTATAAAATTTTTTTGGGCAAAGTTTTTTAGTTTTGGGGAAGGAAAAGGGGAAAATTTTGGTGGAATGGAAGAAGTGTGTAGAAAAAGGAGTTAAATTTTTAAAAAGAGTTTTAAGAAGCGGAAATGAGTGTAAAAGAGGAAATGTTAGAAAAAGGTAAGGAAGGTTTTGGATGGGGGTGTAAAATTTTATAAATGATTTTGAGATAAAAAGTTTAAAAGCGTGGGAAAATAATTTCCAAACAAAGGGGAGTTTAGAGATGGGGGAGGTGTTTGGAGGGGAAGGAAAAATTAGGAATTAATTTGAAAAAAAATGAATTTTATCCCCAAAAGGGGAAATTATAGTAAAAAGGAAGTAATGGGGATTAGGGATTAGTAGAATGAAAGGGGTAAATGGGAAATTGGGGCCAATATGAAAAGGAGGGGGAATTGTTTTAGGGGTTTGTATTTTTAAAAATTAAAAGGAAGGCCCCAAACATTCTTTGCAGGGGAAAATAAAATTTTAAAATTAAGGTAAAATATTAAAATGAATCACCCTTTTAAATGGGACGATTTTTAAAAATAAAATATTGTAACCCGGTTTTGACCTTAAATTTCCTGCTAAATTTTCAATGGTCAAAGGTTTTCCCCAAACTTAAAAGCTGACCTTGGGAAGTCAAGCCCCGCCCCAAACTTAAAACCCCTTTTTACCTTTCGGGGGCCCCACGCCTTCCTTTTTAGATTTTTATTATTTATTTACCTTCTCTCTGAAGGACCAAACCACCTAAAATTCGCCGACCTTTTAAACTCACAACCCCAATTCCCACCCGAAAGGGTGCTAATTTCAAACACATGATAACGGACTTCTCCAGCCCAACGCTTGGTCAGATTCCCCATTTAAAGGGTTGGGGGTTAATTTAAATTTCCCTTCTTTTCCTAATAACTATTTTTTCAATCTAACCCTTTTTCCCCAAATTTTTTAAAACCTTCTCATAAAACCACAAAACCCTTACTAAACATTCCTTCTTCCTTTCCCCACCCTTAAAAATTTTTTGAATTTTGTCCCTCCACCTTTTTTATTATTTAACTTTTTTAAGCACAAAAAAATAAAAATTTAATTTTTGTTAAAACTCCCAATAACCGTTTTACAAAAAATATTATATTTAAATTTTTATTCCCAATTAATCCACCGCCCCAACCAATTTATCTTTTCAACCCCACTATAAAAAAATTTAAACAACCATGGTGACATTACACATCCCTGTCTAAGCCCCTTACTTTTACCGGGAAGTATTTTCCCCTTTTTTACACAACCAACCAGCCTCACTATCCTCATAAAAGCCTTTTTCCATTTAGTAACTTTCCACCCATCCCTAACTTTCAACATCTGCCAATGCCCTCTATCCACCTATCAATCCTTTTCTAAAACCATAAAAATGCAATAAAAACTTCCCTACCTTTTTCTAAATAAATGTTCACATATATGCTCAATGTAAACACTTGATCTAACATCCCCCCCACCCCCGAAACCCCCTTGTTCTCCGCAATTCTACTTCGTCTTACCTTAATTTTTTTTCAATTAAACCCCACCGTATACTTTTTTCCCGTATACCAGTAAACTTTTTCCCCTATAAATTTTTACAACCTTTTTTCCCCTTTCCCTTTTTTTAAAAAAGGGGCTATACCGCTCTCTGCCATCCCTAGGGGGACCTTTTCCCCCCTTTCAAAAATTTATTAAACAAAAGTACCAAACCCCCCAACACTATTCCCCCCCTGCTTTAACATTTCTGTCATGCCCACATTCCAGCTGCTTTACCCCCTTTCATTCTACGAAAACCCCACTACCTCCACCACACTTACAGCCCTGCTCTTCTTCACTCCTAAAAGATGGTAAAACCTCCCTGGCCAGTGCATGAAATTACCGCCTCCCTTTCTCTTAACATTTAAAAGTTCCTCAAAATATTCTCGCCATCTACCTAAATACCTCCCTCTCCCCATCTACTAACTCCCCTACTCTGTTTTTAACTGACAAATCCATACTTTCCCTAGGCTTTCTTAACTTTTTAAAACTCACTCCAAATTTTTTTCTTATTTTCATTAAAATTTCTTGACAGTGCCTCTCCCACTCTTTCATCTGCTCTCCTTTTGCACTCTCTCACCACTCTCTTCCCTTTCTTTTACTCTCCATATACTCTGCTCTTCTTATAACACTTTTTGCTTTGTAAAAACCTCTCGTAAGCTACCTTTTTCTCTTTTATCACCCCTTTACTTCATCATTCCACCAATCACTCCTCTTTCCTCCTGCCCCCACCCTCCTATAAAACCCCAAACTTCTGCCCACATTCTAATACTGCATTTTTTAAAAATATTCCAACCCTCTTCAACCCCCCCACTATATATATATATATATATAATATATATATATACAGTGGACCCCCGCATAATGATATTAATCCGTTCCTGAGAGCTCATTGTTATGCGAAAAATTTTTGTTATGCAATGAATTTTCCCCATAAGAAATAATGGAAATCAAATTAATCCGTGCAAGACACCCAAAAGTATGAAAAATTTTTTTACCACATGAAATATACATTTTCCTACACACAAAGAGAAGGATACATGCACAATAGTAGAGTAGTACATGCACAATATATATTGTGCATGTACTACTCTACTAAATGAAGAATAAATGACACTTACCTTTATTGAAGATGCAGCAATGACTGATGAGTTACTGTGTCCTGGGAGTGCCTTTTCCTCCTGAGTACTGTAGGTCCTGTTTGACATTTTCTTCCAGAACAGGCCTTATCACACTGTGTATGCCACTATGATTCTTAAATCTCTCAAACCAACCTTTGCTGGCTTTAAATTCACCAATATGAGCACTAGTTCCAGGCATTTTTCCCTGTTCACTGGGTGTTAGTCGACTGGTGTGGGTTGCATCCTGGGAGACAAGATTAAGGACCCCAATGGAAATAAGTTAGACAGTCTTCGATGACACTGACTTTTTTGGGTTATCCTGGGTGGCTAACCCTCTGGGTTAATTGTTTTTGGTATTCTCAATAAGCCACACCAACAACGGTGTGCTACAGCAGCAGCAGCAGCTGACAGTGCTACAGTAGCAGCAGCAGCAGCTGACAGTGCTAAAGCAGCAGCAGACGGTGCTACAGCAGCAGCAGATGGTACTACAGCAGCAGCAGCAGCTGACGGTGCTACAGCAGCAGCAGCAGCTGACAGTGCTACAGCAGCAGCAGCAGCTGACAAGTGCAGCAGCAGCAGCAGCTGACAGTTCTACAGCAGTAGCAGCAGACGGTGCTACAGCAGCAGCAGACGGTACTACAGCAGCAGCTGACGGTACTACAGCAGCAGCTGACGGTGGTACAGCAGCAGCAGCAGCTGACAGTACTACAGCAGCAGCAGCAGCTGACAGTGCTACAGAAGCAGCAGCATCAGCAGTTGACCATGGTACCACAGTATTTTGATAATATTTCTCACCCTATTTACCACAGGGTTGGCACTAGAAGCTTTCTTGGGGCCCATGGTCACTTATTTTGCAGATAAAATCACCAAAAACGCTGTAATAATACAAAATGTTCCGATTGTATGCTTGGATGTTACCGCGGAGGCTGGCTTGTATACAATGCCACCGGCGGAACATGTGAGGCTGGCTCAGGCCTCACATAGACGCATCTCAGACGAATAGCATTGAGCGAGTTTTTTAGCGCTATGCGAGGCAAAATTTTAGTGATAAAATGTATCGCTATGTGGAT